ATAAATAAATAAATATTTTAAAAAAGAAATAAATCTGTTCTAACAATTTAAATTGGGGAAAGAATTTCAAGTTTTCTACTTAAAAAATTATCTGTAAACACAGAATGGAGGATAGAGTTGATATGAGCCAAGTACTATGCTATTTACACAACAGAATACTTTCGCTTTTATTCTTTTCAATAATCTTATAATAGGGCTGGGGAGATGGCTCAGTGATACAAGCGCCTGCCTGGGAAACACAAGGTCCTGAGTTTGAGCCCTGGTACCAGTCATTGTCATTGTCATTGTCATCATCGTCATCATCAACATCATCGTCATCATCATCATCATCATCTTGTAATAAGTGCTATGCTAACTGCAGCTCAGAAAGTTTAAACAGTCCATCTAAAATTATCCTTGTTGTTGACTGGACATACAATAACATGCTAAGAGAGAGGTGTGTTGTGATACTGCTGGGAAAGGCACTTACCTAAAGGAACTTCTGATTTCTATCCCTTGTCTCTTATTACCTTCTGGATATGATCCCTAGAACAGCAGTGGCTATTTTGAAACAAATATAGGAGCCAAACTAAGAGAAGAAGAGAAAAACCTAAGGAAGGCAGAGCAGGAAGATAGGAAGAAGCTGGGACCTTGAGGATGTCATTGAGCTGCTGAATTAATCAACCGTTGAAGTTCAGGTTTATGACATAGCCACTTTGAAATATGTCTTCTGTTATGTATAGACAAATGGCCTAACTAAAATGACCTACAGACCCACTGGCTACAGGCGAATGGAAAGGAGATTTGTGCCCTAATCAGAAGAAGCAGAGGCAGCCATTTACACCCTGCTGCTGACCAAATAGGATGTAGAGTTTGCCCAGCATGGAATCTCCATTGGGTCATATCTAATCTGCCCAATCAGGTTCCTCCTGGAGTAATGTAAATAAGCCAACATTGTCTCCCATCTCTGTAGAAAATGCTCCATCATTTAACCCGTCTCTTTTCTGTTTCTCTAATGAGCATCTGCTCATGTACTATTTAAATTGTTCATATTAAAAACTAACAAAATATTCTTTGTTAAATACAAACTACTATGGTGTGATTGCACAGTTGCATCCATCAAGGGTTCACTGTGTTTGAAGACTTGGTCTCCAGGGTAGTGCTATTGGGAAGAGAAAAGTCTTGGAAATAAGGCCTGATGAAGCCCTTAGGTCACCAAGGTCGTGTCTTCAGGAAGAAGCAAGAAGAGATCTGGCAGCAGCTGAAAGTCTTGGCTGATCAAAAGAGTTAAGCTAACAGATCAAATGTGTGTGCAATCTCCCACTAACCTCCAAGATAGATAGATAGATAGATAGATAGATAGATAGATAGATAGATAGATAGATAGATCAGTAGTAGATAGATTGCTGCCCCTTTGCTTACCATCCTTCAAATATCCTATAAAAATATCTTATTGTGGTTAATTCTAACTCAAAACCATACGGAAAAGATAATTATAGGAAATATAATTCCCACACAGCTGACTTGACACAGTACAAAATCACCACAGTATTGCTGGTTTTATTTAAGAACAAAGGGAAAAAAGCAAATGCCAGGGACATGTTTATATGGGAAAGATACTAAAAGAAAGCTAGCTATATGCACACAAGTAAAACTGAATGTTTATATAACACAACAGAAAAAAGAAGGATTCTAGGTAGATTTAAGGAGAGTTATGACTATAAACTGGTAAATTTTTTTTGAAAAGAGAACATCTATGTGATTTAAATCTAGGGAAGGACTGCTTGTATAAAATGTCAGAAGCACAAACCACAACTAAATGGAGTATTACAGTTTATATTTAGATGCTCTCCAAAGCCTCATGTAGCCATAAGTGGGGCTTCGGGAAGATGACTGGGTCAAGGGTGTGTGGTGCTCGTCACTGGATTGGCCCACTGATAGGTTTGCAGCTGGCTGGGATGTTAGGAAGTAAAGCCAGTGGGAAGCTGTGGTTCACTGTGGGCGTGGCCTAGAAGGGCACTAGGTATCCCTCCTCTCTTGATATCTGTCTCTTTTTGACCTCTGCGCCATGAGCACTTGTCCCTCCATGCGCCTCTGCCCTGCTGCCCTGCCTTGGAATTAACTGACTATGGACTGAAACCTCTACAGATTATGAGCCAAAATAAATCTTTCCTCCTTGAATTAGTGGTGTCAGGTATTTTGTCCAAGAAATGAGAACATAGCCAAGATGGCAGCAGAGGGAAATAAATTAATCTGATTAAATCAAAATTGGGACTTTTGGTTGAACAAAGGATATTTTGTACAAGATAATAGAAGGGTGAGCAAGTATGAAGACTAAAGTTGATAAGCAGTAGTATCTGGCATTGGTATGATTTTTACATAAATGTTCTCCAAAAGCCTCAATGTTTTCCAAAGTTGCCTGGATCTAGGGTGTGTATTACTGAGATTAAGGATTTGTGGTAAAATTAATCCACTGATTGGCATGGCACAGCAGTCTGAGTGAGGCTCAATGGATTTACTGAAAACAACAGCCCCATCCTAGGTAGAGCGGCAACACCCAAAAGACTTGTAGGCTGCATAGGATAGAAGAGGAGGAGAGGCTTGCTGCTGCTTCCTGCCTGCTGATGCCTGCCATGCCATGAGCTGCTTCTCCTCTGTAACACTCCCCCCTCCCCACCCATGCACCTCGCCTGGAACCCAGCCAACTATAAATTAAAACTTCTACAGATTGAGAGCTGAAATACATCTTTTTTCCTTTCACTTGTGGGTTTGGGACATTTAGTTCCAGCAATAAGAAAAGGAATAAAGACAAGTATAGGTAAGAACAGTCATAAATCAAAATTTAAAGATGACTAGTTCAGTGGAAAATTAGACAATGAATATCATCATAGCATGGCTTTCCCCTAAAGCAGTAGTAGTAAACTTATCATATGTAGGTTGTTTGTTATTATTAAAAGCTCTAAAAAGTTTGCCATCACTGCCTGAAAATGTAATCTAATGCTAAGACTTCTACGTTACTGAGAGTATAAACCTACAGGACAGGAGTGAGGGAGAATGAGTTAAAAAAATAAAAGAGAGAGAATAAGAAAGAGAAACAATGTATTTAAACATATATAGAGACAAAATTTTCTATTTTATGCAGTGAATTACTATCCTTACTACTTATTATTCAGGCTTAAACCTTCTCTAATTTTGCTATCAGCATTCTGTAAGTGGGCTTCTATTTTCTTAGGATTTGCCTTCAACATCTTGGAAAGTAAGAAGTGATCTTCTATGGGTCCCCCATGTGTCCGCACAGCTTACAGGCAGAAACAAGAGCAGCTGTTTTGCCCTAGACCATCTTTTCAAGGATGTTTACGTATCAAAGGCCTTCAGGAGGTGGAGCTAGTAATTCCTTCTAGACCAGAGGACAGGTGGGTTGCTTGTTGCCCATTATAAAATTCAGCTTCTCTAAACTCGAGGTTCCTCAGTTGTGTCCACTTTTCCACTGAGCTCACTCTGTGTTTTGATTCATAAGTGGTCTCTATCTGTAGTAGAAAGTAATGCCTGTGGCACCACCTCACTGCATGTGCAGGCTCACCCTGTGTCATGCACTGTGCGGTGGTGGCTAAAGGGACCGACACCCCTTCACATCCAGCCCAGAAGTTTCAGGTCTTCTGTGGACAAAGATATAACTGCAGACTCGTTTGTCAGTAAACTCTCTATTTCTTTTTCTTTTCTTTTCTTTTTTTTTTTTGTATTTTTAGTAAAAGATGAATGATATTTTTGTGATCTGTGAAATTAGATGAAATTTTAAGTCAATTATTTTCATCAGTAAACTCTCTAATGCTTGATAAATTTTAATAAACACTTGATTTCTAGAACAAGACATTTTATGACTATGACTATCTTATACTTTTGCTGCCTGGCCCTAAAATGAGCCATTTCTTCAACGAGTCCTAGGTTCTTTGAGTAAATAATGATATTTAAAAGCCACATAGGAATATCAAATATGCTCATTACTATTAAGATGTCACCATTTCCAGTTCATTGTGGGTATAGCTAGCTACACACACACACACACACACACACACAACACACACACACACACACACACACACACCACAAAGACAGAGAAAGCTTTATCTGCTTTTTATCTCTATTTAAATGTATTAAAACCAAGAGTTTACATCAGTGCCTCCAACATTAATCAAGATTAAATTTATTCTACTTTTCTCCTTTTCTGTGCTCATAACTACCTGCTCACACAGTGAGGACTCTGGCTTCAGGACCTTCACAAGATTTGCCTAATTAGTGTCCCGTATGGGTGATCTGACTGGGCTCGCTCCTCCTTCTGTGCACATACTTTCCTTTTCCTGATCCGCTTGACACTCCTTTCCACACTGGTGCACACAGAGGATGCCTTCCTCACACCCCTAAGGCAGACGGAGGGCTAGAAAGGGTGCTACACTGTGTGTTTTCTGAAAGCAGGCTCTGATGCGGAGTCTAATTAAGAATATTTATTAGGAGTCCACCCGTGGAACCAAAGACTAGAAGGTATGGTTGGGCAGAGGGGGAAGATAAAAACTAACACAATATCCAGGCAAATTCTTGACAAACCCCACTGGAGCTCTGGAACTGGAAAGGAAAATTGTGATAGACTTAACATTTCTGCCCATCACAAATTATACGTTGAGGGGAGATCTGTGAGAGGACATGAAGGTGAGTCCTCATAAAGGGAATTCATACCTTATACGAAGGGGCCCGAGTGGTAGCTTGTTTTCTCTTCTGCCATGTCAGGATACAGTGAGAATTTGGCAATCTGAAACCCAGAGCAGGGCTCTCACCAGATCCCAATCATGTTGGTATCCTGACCCCACTCTAGCCTCCCTACCTGAGAGAAAAAATTTTCTGTTCTCAACTACTCAACCTATGGTAATTTGCATAGCAACCCAGTCTGACTAAGATAACAGTTAAAGTCACTGTATAGCAATCCCAGTTGGTTGGACCTTTATATTCCTGAGTTACTGCTGTAAACAAACATGGTAAGGGTGTGTCCTTGGCAAAGAAACTGTGCAGCTCCCTGGAGGATCCGACAGATGCACAAGTCTTCTCTTGAAAGGGATCTATGTGATTCATGTTCACTGCCGGCACAGCTCCTCGTGTCCCTCAGCTGCATTTCTTCACCTATGTTTGGAGAGCCACTCCTCCAGGATTCTGATGAACCACTTTTCCTAAAAGAAGATTTTAAGAAGTTGGGCCAGGTACTCCATGCCTGTAATCCTTGCTACTCAAAAGGTTGAAGCAGGAGGATCATAATTTCAGAGCAACATGGACAACTTAGTAATATCCTGTCTCAAAATAAGATTTATTTTGTTTATGTATTTGGTACAGGGTCTCACTATGCAGCTTAGACTCATAGTATTCCTCCTGTGTCAGCCTCCCCAGCA